ATAAAAATCTGCCTGCCCCTTCTGGTTAAATCTTACTAAAAAAGAGGTTTGTTGGTGTTTTAATGACAAGAATGCATGGAGTCACATGCTTCAAACCAATTAGTAATACAGATGAACCAGCGAGTTGTGTTCCATTTATAGGGTGGGGGGAGGGAGAAGTCAAATAATCTGTGTTTTTAAGAGATCATGAGAAGTGGAGACCTCCAGGGCAGAGAGAAGGCAGATCAGGAAATAGCTATGCAAATCACATGCCTATGAAATTACTGAAACTTTGATCAGCGCATTAACAATCGCTCCAGCATTCATACGTATGAAACAAGGAGTGAGTAAGACTGGGCATGTTTTGGAAAGGATTACAAGAGTGTTTACTTACATGGTTTGTTGAACAGTCAATGAAGTCCTTGGCTGTTTTCAACTTAAGCTGCCAGAGTAGTGCAGGTCTGACAAATGCAGTAATACATCCTGCACTCATTAGGGACTCGGGGATCTCAGTGATTCTGACCCAGTGCCAAAAGGACTAGACTTCATATGAAACCAGCTTCAATTTTTTTTTTCACCTCCTCTTTAACAACACAACTTCTCATTTTCCGTGGAAGGTAGAAGGGGGACCTGAATTCTAGGAAAGTGTTATCAGAGTTGCACTGTAGTTAGGGACTGTGGTGCAAACAATGTTGAGGTGTGACTTATACTCAGCACACTTGAAAACTCAAAGCCCAGGTCTCTACCTGGCCTCAACATCTAGTGTGACACTTCCTATTGGGGTTGCTTCCTTAGGGCCCCAGAACCATGTGTTCCTGGCTATGTGATCTTGGTAGCATTTGAGAATGAGGCCACTTAAGGCTGGCTCTAATCTGGTTTCACAACTCTGGACTCATCTTTTTAATGCCTTTATTTAAGGGGGAAAAAACAATTTATCCTAAAAGGGAGCTGTCAGAACAATTACCAAATGATAAAACTCCCGTGGCATTTTTTTTTAGCATGCCAATTGCTTAAAATTTATTATTAATGCTAGGATGTCAGTGGTGCTTGTTAATGACCCTGTATGTTCCTATCTCAGACAATACAGTTGCTTCTCAGACATTTCTGTTGGTGTGGAAGATTGTTTATGGGAAAGGAGAATACATGTAAACTTGAATATTCTTATGTGTAATTAGTGCTTTGTGAAATCATGGAAATATTCAGCCAATTAATAGCAGAGTGCCGTGGGCCACTGCTCTGCTAGGTGTGGAGTCAGTGCTGAACTGCATTTTTGAAATAAATATTTCAGGGGATCATTTATAAATTTTTAAAGTAAAAATGTTGGTTTTTCAGTTAAAGCCAAAATGAGGACTGAGAGCTTGTTTTTCTTTTCTTTTCTTTTTTTCCCAAGTATTCGAAAACTGAAATTCTGTAAGAGATTATCTGTGAAATGCCTTTCATTTATTACACTCATAAATTTCAGGAGTGGCTTTGATCAAGCCTTCTGTCATTCTTGGTTTCTAAGTCTTACTCATATGTTAATAACTTTAAAAACATTCATCCTATTTTTGTTGTAGTGAAAGAGGAAGTTTCTAAATAGTCAAAAGGGAAACATTGAAAATAGAACACAGTAAATGATAACTAAATTAAGGTAGGCTTTCCCCCTCTATCCCCACCCCCCCAGGAAGAGCAGAGCAGTGCTCCATGTTCAAACTTGCCAGGGTATTTTAAGATGATTGTCTGTAAAGAAAATGTACCAGAGAATTGAGATCCTCAGAGGAATGGCATTACAGAAATGCAAGGTATTATCTGTAATACCACCCTATACATAGAACAATGTTTGTCAGTCCCTAATAATTCAATCAGTGGAGTTTACTTTTTTGGCTTGTGTTTAGTGCTTCAAACACACACACACAGCTAGCAAATCAAGTGAGTTAATGTGCTGTTATTCCTTTAGACATAGACCCTGAGGGTCAAACTCAGGAAAAGGATCACTGGCTTCTCATCCCCCTAAACCTAGCCCCCACCACCAAGCAAATTCTGTCTTTGAGTGGAAGCTCAGAAAGAATTGCTGGAGAAAATATGTAGCTGTATTGGCAACAAAATCCTCTCTGCAAAATGAGAAGAAAGAGTTGTTAACTGATGAGTCAATCCAGCTTTTATAGCAGTTTATCTTCATGGTATTTCCAAGAGCATAAATGTTATTAAAAGAGAGAGAGAGAGAGAGAGAGAGAGAGAGAGAGAGAGAGAGATGGTCATGACAGGAAGAACACTGTAGAAAAAAACAGGAGCATTTAAGCCAAAAGCAATTTACTTTGCCAGTAACTGGTTACATTTCCTTTGTTTTATTATTATTGCAAGAGATGGAGTTGAGAGGGAAGTTTCCCACACCTGCACTGCCATGACACGTATTTGTCAGAACCTATAGTGAAGCCAAGATATAAATGAATGAAGTAAATATATCAATAAATAAGTGAGCTAAGTTCTTAAAGGGAAAATAATCCAAACTTGTTCTGTTTTATATGACCTTAAACACACACACACACACACAACTATAATTCATTAATACTTGAAGGAATTTTTTAAAAGGGGAAAAACAAAGCAAACATATGGGTTAGGTGTCTAAGTAGCTGGTCCCCCTGGGATTAACACCTATAGAAATAGCAGTGACTTCACAAAGGTGAATACTTGTTAATTTCATGGCACTGAGTAAGAGGAACAGATGGGTAGTTAGAGAAGAAAGATTTAAAAAAAAATACAGATATTTCCCTGACTAGGCAGAAGAGTCAGTGGCCCACTGCAAGAGGATGATATCCCAAGTTTTACTAGGACTTTGTAACTTGAGTGGAGTCTTCTCATCAGCTGTTGAATCAGGGACCCCGTTTGCTGTTAAGTCTATCAGATGTGTTTGTTGCCTGGGATGGGCCTCTTGCTATGTGGTATCTGAGAGTGTTTTCATTTGGGGAAAGCTCCCTGGTGCCTGCCTGCAGCCTAAGCTAATAATATAAATACCTCATTATGAGACAGAATGAGTGTGTGTGTGTGTTACAGAGAAATTAAAGCAGGGGCCTTGGATAAAGTCCAGTTGCCTGGGTTAGAATCCTTCTGCTTCCAGGGACCTATTGCAATGACCTAAGAGAAGTAATTTCTTTTCTGCCTCAGTTTTCTTGTCTGTAAAATAGGAATAATCATTGTGCCTTCCTGGTGGCTTGTTGTGAACTTTAAAGGATTTATTATATGCAAAGTTCTCCAGAACAGACACTGGCACAAAGGCAGTGCCCCGTAAATATTAGCGATTATTCTTATTCATGTGTCATATTGAACATATTCATGGGGAAAACACTTACTAAACTCTATGGTGGACCAGACTGGGGCTGGGCAGTGACTTACCAGAATGGCTTTGTTGACAGAGACCAGTCTCATCCACACCACTAGAGCAGGTCTAAGGATTTGGAGTCTTAGGATTTGGGTTCTAAATAGGTACAAGTCTTTAGATGTCCAGGGAAGTTAGGAGGAGATGAGGCTATGTAAAAGAATTCCAAACCAGAGCTAGCTTCCTCCACCACTGACCACATCATAAAACATTTGTTATTACTCACCCACCTAACAAATGATCAGTTTCCTTGACCTTGTAGAAAGAAAAAAAAAAAAAAAAAAGAAAACACCTGTAACCTGGGTACCAGAACTTCTACTCTCCCCAAAAGCTATTTCCTCAATCCCAAAATCCCAAAACTTTACTTGCTTGGGTCTAGTGGATCGAAAAGGTCACGAATTGGACTCCCACCCAGCCCTGCACATTCCATTCTCCTGGGGGCCTTTAAACAACTGCTCTTGGTGTATTTGTGTATTACAACTGGGATAAGATTATGGGCCCACTGAGATATCAGACACAATGGCTCTCCAGTAATCAGTGCCTAAAGGACTCCCATCTCAATTCCCAAAGCAAACTCTAGTCAGTGGTGTCTGTTTCCAGAGCTCAATAAAAGGAGCAAAGGTGAAAACAGTTGTATAGGTGTCCAGCATGCACATGATCAGCTCATGAAGATACAAAGGAGGTATATGTGAACATCTTTATTTCCACTAATAACATGTTCATTCAATAGACTTATTTATGCAATGTTGCCTGCTGGGTGTGCCTGGGATGATGGGGAAGAATCAGGCATGGCCCCAATCTGTAAGGATGCTCCAATTTAGAGTAAGCCACAGGGCACAGCTCAAAGCACAAAGAGCACAGTGATACCCTCCTTAAAAGATGCTCAGAAGAGTTCAGAGGAAAAACTAAAAGATGGAGTGATTGGTAGAGTTTGGTAACCTGATCTGAAATATCAGTGTACTTGCCTTAGAAGGAGCCAAAGATTTTTTCCCCTCTTTCTTGATCAAATTTCATTCAGTGTTTAAGTTTGAGTGACCAGAATATTAGGTGCTAGTCTGTTCTAAATTTGTAATTCTCAGAATCCACAGGGGAAGGACATGTGCTTCTCTGGGTTTTGAAAACAGCTCAAAGAATGAAGAAAATAGACCCGAGTTGGAGATGACTTATTGTCAGTTCCCGGAACCTTTGCCTTTATTTAAAACAGCCTGTTCAGTGCAAGTTCTCTAGATCTAAAAAGGCCTTCAGGGATTTGAAAGCTTTTCTGGAAATAAATGCCTTTTAGGCTAAATGCTTTTTACCAAAATGATCATACTAGCAAGTCTTAGAACAGACTCGATATTGTTTTGTTTCTTTTGGTGAAATATCTCAGACCAGTCCCAAGTTCTGTTTGTTTTTGTCAGGCTTGCTGCTTGGTTATTATTTTGATTAGGGACATGAAAGTACATTCTTCCCTCCCGGTCATTACAGACTTAGCACTTGGGTCAGTTGTGGAAACACTTCTGTGCTACACAGAGACTCTGAACCAAAATAGTCCACGCCCTGGCTCCAGGCTGAGGTCCTGCGCTGCGCAGGGAAGGTGACATTAGGCTCTGTCATGGCAACAGGAGGTCAGGATCCACAAAAGAGGCTGGATGAAATCACCAGCCCCGCGCGGGGAGGTGGAGAGAAAAGAGCCCTCCCTGCCAGTCTGGCAACTCCAGCTAAGTCTTCAGAGCTCATCCCACACACTCCGTGCTAGTCACTGCTGTGTGTTTACATGAGTAATGGAGCTGCCGGGGGAGGGGAGTTGTAAGCAGAGCGCTGAGCCTCACGGCTTGCATTCAGAGGGAAGCTGACATACAAGTCAAGTCAGACTTCCAGGGACGTGGCCGGGAAGCAGTCACATGCTGACATGCTGTAGCTTTCATGAGCACAGACATCATCAGGCAGATGTTTGTCGACTGGAATGGGTAATCGCTACTTTCTCTTTGCTAGATTTTTGTTTGTGAGCTTGTTTGCCTTTGATAATTCCAGGCTGGCTTCCTACGGTGAACTTACAGACAAACAAATCGGGAAATGAGAGGAAAATGGATTTGGGAGGGGGCAGTTGAGCTCCAAACTTTTACACGGTTGTAAAGGCAGTTCTGCTTTTTTTTTTTTTTTTTTTTGAGTTTTACCAACAGCAAAACTGATCTCCACAGTAGGAAATCAAGTTAGTGGGATTAATTGTGTTTGTCAGATGAGTATAATGTAAAATGTCAGCAAACCACTGGTTAACGGTGTGACTTAAGTAAGATTAGCAGTTAAGAGGGCTTGAGTTGCTTAGATTTGGCATTGTCATAATCATACTTTAAAGTAATGAAAGTGTGGCTACCTTAAAAGAGCTGAAAGAAATTGCTTGGGGTATAATTCATTCCTTTGGATGAATTTGGTTTGTTTTAATTGTGCTTAACTCTGGGTGATTGATGAAGTTAAATGTGAAAGCTGATGCCGGACACTCATTGCACTCAGTAAAGAACAGCTTCTCCCCTCCTCCCTTCCCTTTTCTTTATGGATCTTATAGAGAATAAAGCTTAACATCAAGGATGAAATACAACTTTGATTTGCATCTTGTCTAAGCCTTTAAAATGTATAATCTCCACAGAATCAGGCTAACTTCAGGATAATCTTTAGAAGTTATTTTAAATAACCCTTAAGATCTTCATAAAAAAAAAAAAAAACATAAGAGAGTAGGCTGACTTCGGTGTATTTGCCAGATTTGTTGAGATTTGAAAGGTGCTGGTTGCCTATTAGTAAATATAAGTAATATTTTTCAGATTGTTATCATGAATATCTCTCTTTACAATGGTTTACAATTTCTTTACAAGTGAAATTTCTATTTCACTATAACTTAAGTAGTGCTCAGGTCCTCACTTATAAGGAGAGATGTTTTCAAATGTTATGTTGCTGTAATTCTGTGATGGGCTGGCTTATCACTTAGGTTTCTGAAAACAGGACTCAAAACAAAAAACAAAGAATGATTTTTGGATTCTGTTTCAGGGTTCTCTTTTAGTACAACCTGTTTCTTTTCTAACAATGGGGAAGTGTGTTTTCTTTAACATCATCCTTTAAAACTAAGAGCTTCATTTTTCTTACATTACATAAATGTTAAAGTATAATAGATCACTTGGGAGAAGATAGAAGTGTATGGTCTACCAAGAGGCTTGCTTGACAGAGAAAGATGCATAAATGAGGGTGTGTGTCACAGTTGTGTACACTTCTCTGAACAATAGGAGGGGAGGACTGTAGGAAGATTCTCGTTTTTTAATAAGGAAACCTATGAAAATGTAAATATATCTCAATTGTTCTTCTCCATTTGTTTTCAGCGCCAAATCTTAAAGGCAGACCACGCAAAAAGAAACCATGCCCACAGAGAAGAGATTCATTCAGTGGTGTTAAAGATTCAAACAGCAATTCTGATGGCAAAGTCATTGCCAAGGTATGGTCATTCCTCCCATGCTATTCATTTTGCTGCATTTTTTAGTTCTTTTTATCTCTCTGATCTTCTGTCTTGCTGGTAGTTTTCAATTCAGAATCTGACTTTGGTATTCACAGCTCTCTGCTGTGTCTGTTCCAGCCACCCTTCTTCCCTCCCCTTGTAGCTTGGGGGAAGTGTAGGCATTTTGATTAGACAACAGAAAGACTTTCCACCTCCCAATTTGGCCTGTTGGGTAAAGGACAGATGATTATGCGCCCACGTCACTGAGGCAGAGATTTCATAGTAGGTGACACAATGACATAGTTTACTCTGCTTGTGTCAAAAATAGACTGGCTGAACCATCATCTTTCAGAATATGTTCTCTAAATATGTTTCAGAGATTAACAGAGGATGAAATTGGAAATGACTGGAATCAATCTTTCTAGTTTATATTTATTTCAATGTCACCTCTAATTTGCGTTAAAGTAAAATTAAAGACGATAGTAAAATATTTACATGTATACATACATAGACCCATATATACAATTATAAGTTTTAAATTATGTTTCTGTGAATGCAGAATGGAAGTTAAAATTCTAGACTTTATTCAGAGCCTGGGCCCATTGTGCCTTCACATTCTTTGGAGTCTTGAAAGTGGCTGTCTGAGGTATTTAGCACCAGGAAGGGTAAAGTGTCACTTCATATTTTTAGACTTATCTTTTTGGCTTTTGTGAACTGGGGTCAGATTTCCATGGTCCTTTTTACCGAGTGTTTGTATCTAGGTGTTGTTTCTGTGTCAAAGACAGCAATAGCCACTTTAGGACCCGAATTCAGGATTTCAGCTGACACCACGCTTCCCCATCCAACAGCTAAACTTCCCAAAATGGAAGCTTTGATTATTCTAAAGGAACTTGGAAAGGAACTTGGAAGATTCTAATGGACAAAAGCATGAATCAGCACTGTGCTGACAGTCTCCTCTTGCACTGCCATGTACTTCACTCTGCCTCCCAGTGTCAGGAAGCAAATCCTAGACAGTCGCAATCTATACATTTCATCTCCAGGGATGGTGGTTCCATCAGGAAATTCTGAAGACTTTTTAATTGGGAATTCTTCATGCTACCAAGATTGCAAAGGGTTATAAAGAGATGAGCCACTAGAAGTGTGCATTTTCTGGCTAAAAAAAAAATCCATCTTTCCCTACAGTTATTTTTGTTCTACTAATTTAACCTTCTGTAAGTCCATATGGATATCAAGAATGATATTTTTCTGGTAATTCGGACATGTAGATCCTAGAACTACCTTTAAGGGCCTCAGCTTTCATGGTCTTGAAAGGATATATCAGCAGGAACAGTTTATTCCCCGTGATGTGATTTGCAAGATACTGCAGAATCGAGCAACGAGGTTTTAGGATCATAACATTCAGCAGAGCTTGTGCTGCCAAAGTCTTGTGCTGGCATCCTGCCCCATACCTCTGAGGTGACATCATGTGTTTACCCCAGCATATTCTGTACCTGAGCCCAGCAGGATGAAGCTCCCTCTCCTGTCATTTGGAGTCACTACCAAAGTACACCTCCAGGAGGCTTACAAAACTCAGGCACAGTCTTTAAGAACAGCACCTCCAATATCTCTTTCCATCAAAAGCAGGCCATGACTCACAGTAGGATCCACAAAACTGACAAGAAAGGGAGCCTGCTCCCCTATATTGGATGGTCATGGATGTATCCCTCCTAAAAGGGCCTGTAGCCAAGCCTGGTTTTCTGAGTGACCTTTTCCACCTTATCTGTGTGCCATTCAGAATCTTTACTAAGAAGGAGGTTCATCCTTTCACTTTGGTATCAGTGGTGAATGGGTGAATGTCACACAGCAGTTGGTTACTGGAGACTTGTCTGAAAGTCCAGCTCTTCTCAGTCTCGGATTACAGTCTGTTTTGGCTGCTTCTAAAAAGTTTAGCAAAGCCACATCGTCTAGAAGAGAGATACTGGTAGATAGGAATATCTGTGGTGGGCTTGTGTCTTGTGTGTTGGTCCCAACAGACAGATGGAAAATCATTACAGAATGACTAATAACCCCTGGCCACATGGGGGCCAGGACAGTAATTAAATAGGCATTTCTGTCTTAAAGTGTTTGTTTTTTTCCTAAGAGACCCTATAGTTGAGATTGTAGGCTTATGATCATCTGATCTTCTGCTGAACGGGTAATATTTTAGGTGGTAGTTTGACTTTATGACCAAGACTTATGAATTGTTTCTTTTAAAAACTGCCTCAATCAGACCGTTTCTAACTATGGACAAGTATCAGCTTCCTGTAGCACCACAGGACAAAGTTCTTAGAGTAAGCACCTAGTGGGTTTGTTGTGTGTGAATTGTGAAGAGAGGTAATTTGCCTGCCACCTTTAAAGTGGTACTGTCTCAGTACAAACATTATACTAGCTTTGCAAGGTACTGTTTCCTAAGGGACAGAGAATTTCATGGTTTTCCAAAGACAACAGAAGTCATATAATGGGGAAGAGGCTACCAGATCTTTGATAATGTCACAAATGTGTTCATTTCTCTAAAAATGTCATGAATGTGTTCAACCTAAAGCCTTCAGTTTCTCTTGAGTTATTTTACAGCAAGAGAATCTGGGGCCCAAATGCTTTTAACTAGTGATCTACATTAGAGAAATCTTCTTAGTTTAATGAAAAGATTATAATGATAGAAGGCAGATGACTTTTCCCTTAGCACTTTCTGATAGCAGAAGTCTATAAGGGAAGGTTTGTGTTCTACAAGGAACATAGAGTGGGAAACCATGGTATGCAATAAATTGTTTTATTTACATCACAAGATAGAGTTCCAATATTTCACCAATGTGGTATTTTCATCATCTTTGGTCCTCAGAGCTACCCCCCAGAACTCACTCTTTGCACTGTCCTAAGAGAGAAAATGAGGGTCTCTTAGCAAGTTAGTGACCATTTCAAATTAGATTGCGGTTTCTTGCTTGCTGGCTCAGCACATCTTGATGCTCCAGTTGAGGTTGGATTAGTTATAACTCAATCCAGGGAAAGGATTCAGTTAATGTCAAATAGGTGATGGTTCACTGAAGATGTTAAATGTGGATTCTTTAATTAGCACTCGTTCAATCACTTTGTAAACCCCAAAACTCATAGTGAACTCAACATGTGTAAGGTGTTCAGGTAGGGAAAACAGATCTAGTAATTAACTGTCACAAAGGTTGAACTTTGTTAAGGTCAGCCACAGACTAGCACATGTTTGATATTTCATATATTAAAATGCTGAGATTGTTTTTGGTAAATGTGAAAGAAAAAAAAAATGGAAAAAGATGTTTGCCTGGCCCAACTCAGGACCAGCATAATATATCTGAAAGGGCTCACGTATGTGAACAGAAGAAATGTATGGAATGAGTCCAAGCAAGAAAAGCATTGTTTGCTTCTCACAGAGAAGTTGGCCCCAGGGAACAGTTTGGTTTTATCTGGACCCTTTGTCCCCAAACAGGCAGTCTGTAGACTTGGCCTGTGCACCCTCTCTGTTCTTTCCTTCTGTTTCTAGATGTTTCTGCACAGGTGAGGCAGAAGATTAAGCAGCTGTCTAGACACTGAGGGGCAAACCTCATATACTGTTAACTTGGTACTTCTGACCTAAGAATATAGATAGTTGGCCCATTTCTACTATGAATCCAAGATAGTCTGTTTTGCATGCAAACCTTACATCTACTCCTGATTGTACAAGACTTGGGAGTGAAGCAGACCTAAGCTCTACACCCAGAGTTCTGCTCTCACAAGTAAATGACAAAATATGTAACTTTGTTCAGCTTCAGTTCCCTAGCTCTAAAATATGACTCAATTTCTCCCTTCCATGATTCCTGTGACATTAAATAGACTTTGTGAATCTCACCATGTGGGGTCTGGCTCAGTAGAGGTACTCAACTGATATTTGGTTCCTTCCCTTTGTTCAATATACAATAGAAGGAATGAGGAAGCCCTTTAATAAGGGCAACCACCTCGTTTTATCTTTTACTTCTTCTATAATAGATCACATTTCTAAGCTGAGAATTTTGTAATGCCTAGTAATAAGATAGTTTATTTTTTTAACTGGAAATGTGTCTTCACAACTGTTATAATTTAATATTTTTGTAAGAGTGTCAGTGAAGTATAGTGTTTAAGACCACAATCCTTAGAGTGAAACCAGGATCAGATTCCATTCACCACTTACTAACTTGTACATGATCATGTGATCTTGTATTTATTACTCACCCTCCTTGTACCTCAATTTCCTCATTAGGGTTGTGAGCATGAAGGAAGATAATACATTTAAAAAAAAATGTTTAGGAAGAGCCTGGCTATGTAATAAGCGCTCAAAAAATACAAAGTCCTGAGGGCCTGAGGATAGGCAATACTGTTTGAAACAGGGATGATTTTATGATCTCAAAAGCCATTAAGTTATAGACTTCATCAGAACTTTAGACTCAACTGTAAAATTTGGCTGTGGAAAATGACAAAATGAAGTTTTATAGGATGTTTGCCTTAGTAAAATGGTAGAAACCACCAACATTTTAAAATGTCATAAGTAAAATCTCTACCTTGTAAAGGGTCTCAGTCCACTTCCATAGCCTTTTAAAAATTAAAATCTTATCAAAGGCCCAGTTGAATAAGTTGTATGGGAAGTTTTATTTTTCTAGGACCAGTCTAAAGATATTAAATAGCATGTTCACTTGAGGGAATAACCAATAAAGAAAACCCTCACTGAGGATACAAATCGCTGTAATAAATAAGTAGAGCCTTTTATGTTCTTCATGTTTGGGAAGAATCTGAAAGGAAAGAAAAAGGGGTCAGAAATCTGAAATGGAAAACGTCAAATATGTGGGACGTTTTGATTCATAACATTTCCCTAACACTACCCTCTTCTCTTCGATGTTGGATATGGAGATGTAAAGAATATTGGAATGTACACATTCCCCACGGGCGCACTTGAACTCCAAGTTTGACCCTTTGTACTTCCCCCTTTTACAATTAAAATAGCTCAGCAACTTAGCATTATATTTAACAACCATCAAAGGCCTCTTGTAGAACATGGCAGTGAGGGGGATCATTAGGTTAGCCATTCTATCCTGAGGTCTATATTCACCCAGAGAACGGAAGGAAGAACATCTGGGCACTTAACGCCATTTATTTTTTAATTGTGAAGCTTTTCACTTAACTCTTCTTGGGTTTTTCGCTGACCTCGACTTTTTCCTTTGTGGCAAGTTAACATCTATTATATTCTCAGAATTGAGTGAAAAGCAAGACTCCCTTGTTAAAGAGCCTGACCTTCATTTCCTGCTGAGGAAGGATCTGGTCCTCAGGTGACAGTAAGGAGCTTGCTGGCATCCTCCATGCCAGTATCTGCTGGCATTGACATATTTTTTCCAGGTTGCTGGAAAAAAGTAACAGCACCAAAATTTACTCTGAAGAAATAAACCTTTCTTTCATTTTGATATCAACTATGTAGTAAGAAGGCAGGTTGCTTCAATGATATTAACAGCTGTAGCCCCTTAGGGAAAATAAAGTTATGTAAAGAAGCAGAAGAATGGTCCCACCACAGGGAAACCCATTTTGATTTCACCTCAACTTACTGGTAACGCTTCTAGAAGAGTCTGGCACAGTTGGGCAAACCATGGCCCATGGCCCCTGTTAATGTACAGTTTTATTGGACATGACTACCCACATTGTGTTTGCTGCTAGAGTTGAGTATTGCAACAAGGACTTGAAGCCCCCAAAGGCACAATATTTACTATCCGGCTTTTTACAGAAATGTATCACCCCCCCTCCCTAGTTTAAGACAACTCATATCCAGTGATGCCTCTAAAAAGCTATTTCAGAGCAATGGAAATTTACAGGTTCACCCTTCCTATCTACTCAGTACTGAGTGTCACTCGCTATGGCTTTGTAAGCATTTCTGGGCTGGGCTTGATTTAATGTGGCAATTTTTCCTTTTTCCAGGTAAAATGTGAGGCCAGGTCAGCCTTGACCAAGCCGAAGAATAACCATAATAACTGTAAAAAAGTCTCAAATGAAGAAAAACCAAAGGTTGCCATTGGTGACGAGTGTAGAGCGGATGAGCAGGCCTTCCTGGTGTCACTTTATAAATACATGAAAGAAAGGAAGACACCGATAGAGCGAATACCCTATTTAGGTTTTAAACAGAGTAAGTATACTTGTTTTCATTTCTGAAATATCAAAAGTGCTCAGATTCTTTGAATTGGAAAATAATTTTGACTCAGGAGTATGTTGAAATCCTAATCTGGGGATGATGCTCTGTTTATACTAAATTCTCCCGAATCATCCAAGCCAGGAATTTTTTCCCTGCCTCTTTCCGCTACATTGTTCCCTTCTGGGACAGTTGCAGTGAGATATTTTTAGGCTTGAATCCACTGATTATGACTGGAAATAGACATGTTGAAAGTTTCTCATTTTCTGTTTTGTCAATCTTGAGTGTCTGTAACGCCTTGCCTCTGAGATAATAATATGACGTAGCTTTATCAGGCACAGATGTTGCCTGTGAAAAGACAACTTTTAAAAGGAGGACGTGAAAAGGTGGACAAAACAATCACAGAGAAAACATACATCCTAAGCCCCAAATTTGTTAAGTGATAGCAAAACCCTGACTGCAGAGGAAGCGAGCACACAAATTTGAACTGAGGTCCCCATTTTGAATCATTTTGACAAGTGTCATCATGTTTATAAGTAGAACAGGGAACTCATAGCCTTGCAGAATTCCACATAAGAGAAGAAACCCAGATCCTGCCCTGATTTCACAACTGAATATATATTTTGCTTCTGGATTTCGTGGCACACAAAGCAATGAGCCCCTGGCTTGAAATAGTATTTTCCCCAAATGTATCTTCCTAGATTAAAACCATGTGTCATTTTGATGAAGAATGTCAAACCTGTATGTTTTACATAACAATTTACATACCTAATAGCAATTGGCACTGATTGCAAGAGAACACTCGCAGCCATTATAAACTTATATAACTACGAATGATTACAATGTTTGTCTGAAAACTGGTTGCTTGAAATAGAAGTAAAATTAATGTACTATGAACAGCTTTGTTGCATTATGCATTGGTTCAGATTAAATCAAGGCCAAGATAGCTTTGAAATAGTGCAGGGTTCAATGAAGCTTTTCGAACATGTTGTGTCAAAGAGCCTTTAAAAAAAAAATGTATTCTTCATTTCCCATACCAAGGATTACTTGAAATTCAATTTCCCCCTCTTGTAAAAGAACCAAATCCATAACCATCCCATTCCATGATATTTTAGTAGAATGGAATAGGGTGACTAGCAATTTTTCTTCGCGGTTTAACAGCATAAACATATGCAAACCCTGCAAAGGGAAATCCATTTTAAAAATATCCATATATTTCAACATCACACGGGCACGTGAAGGTACTAAATGGACTCATGACTCGATTCCTCTGTGAATGACGATCTTCCTTCCCTTTGATCTGTTGTATCACGGCTGCCTCAAGTGTGAATATTTATTTTCCTACTGATGCAAGGCACCATGTGTTGGTGGAATATGGTATAAGCCTTTTAATATTTAATACAGCACTGCCATCAGACATTTGATTGATAAGGTAATCATACACTAAAGGGGCTATTATTTATTGATGATGGAGAGTCCTTATCTGAGGGAAGCATTGTACAGTACCATTTAATCAATGGTTCTTTCTAAGAGTTCAACACAACCAACCCCGATTTTGAAATCCCATAGTTTTCCCGAGGATGCTGCAACTTGGCTTCTCTTGGGCGGCTGATGGCAAGAGGACTAGAACTTTGTTGTCCTCCGTCCTAGAAGGAGAGTGATTTCCCTATTTGTGAATGTTTCTTAAGAAATGTTTTAAGTGGTAATAGTACAGCCTGTTGTTGATTGCCCTTTGGCACATTGTTTCCTAAGACCGTTGCTCTCTGGGGTACGTCAGTATTTCTTTTTTCTCATTCTCATTGAAAAAAATCAAAACGAAACAGAACAAAATGTTTTAATTGACATTTCTTGGAAATATGTTAATGCAATGCTTATCTAAATACTTATTGTCCCTCTAACAGTTAACCTTTGGACTATGTTTCAAGCTGCTCAAAAACTGGGAGGATATGAAACAGTAAGTGTTTAAGCAACTTAAATGAAATAATTTTGCAATCTTAACTTTCCCCTCCTCTTTGACCAAAATGGAGAAAATGTGAAAGCAAACTATCTCTGGCTGCCTTTTCAAATGGCTCTACACTTTTGGGGTTTATTGGGCCGCTTTTGGAAACAGTTCCAATTAGTTCCAGGTTTGGCAAAATTGTAAACTTGTCGTAAAAACTACAAGTGGAAAACATATGTAACTCTCCCCTGTCAGGGAAATTAGTTGGGTCTGTAATTTTTTCCCATGTTGAGAAAGGGCTATTATTGTACAACAAGCCAAGATTGCATAAAAGAAATTTCCCTTGGCAACATACCTGACATCTGTTCATGTCTAATATGGGAAATGTATTAAAGGCTTTCAAAAGTAATCAGTATTGGCCATTAAGGAATAGAATGCAGCAGAATCTCCTCGCATTCTGGGGCAAAGAAGCTTTATTAGACAAGGGTCACTGCCGCATAAACAGGAAGTTATCAAACTTACTCAGAACAGGCTCTGACACTCTTTATCAGCTAATTCTAACTGACAGGAATAGGTTATTTTTAGCCAACAGGAAAATTTGATGGCCACGGATTTTTACAGCATGTATTTTGAACCAATAAAATGTTGGAGCAACAATCTAAGATTACAATCTTGAATTAAGAAGAAAGAGCTGAATTAATAGAGCACACTGAGGTGACATCTGTAATAAAATCAATCAACATAGGAAGATGTCGTCATTAGAAATATTTTCTCCTCCACACAGTGATCAGATTAAGTTGTGCAGTTTCTTCTGCAATTGAATAAGAAATTGTTTTTCTTCCCTTACAAAGTAACCTGGGATGTGTCTGTATTATAGTAAAATGACAGTGAGAGACACAGAGTCAAGAAAATGAAATTAATTTTAACCCAAACATAATAAGTTGTGTTTCTTGCTAGATATAGCATATTGTTCCACAAACTGATATAATGGTTAGATATCAGGGGCTTGGGGCGGGAGAAGATGGCAAGCATTATAAAATTCAGATAGTCTTGTATTACTGTGGAGCTTATCTGCCCTGAGTTCTTACAAAAAAGATCTTTGATGTGACTATGTGTATGTAAAATGTTTCATATATGGGTTCATACATGTGTATTTATTAGGAAAAATCATACCCAGATGAACAAAATTTTAAAGTGCATTTCAAAGGCATGAATTAGCTTAGACTATTTTTTTACAAATACTTTATGTAAAAATAAATGAGGTATTTTTTACTTCCTTGGGTCTGTTGATAGGACAGAGAGATCAACTGCTTGCCACTGTGACTCATAGTTTTGCAAAATCTTGAGCTAATTATAGCTTTCATCCATGCGAAAAAAGAGGATGATTTATTTAGGGTTAGTATCATAAATTTAGGAGTTAACCCCATAGCCTCGACTTTTTAGTAGAACTTTTAATGTTAAGAATAGGAATACATATTTTTATGAACTGTTGCTGCAGATAAGTTACGGGATATTACCCAATATCATGAAATGTCTTTTTAAACCCAGGAACTTTTTGTTATTCACTGATAGGAGAGTGCCAGCAAATTTCGCAGAATCGGTTTTTCCTGCTTTTGTATCTTCTGTATCTTCACAAGGATTTTTTCCCTATGTAGTAGCAAGTTGGTGTAGAAAGTAAAAAAAGAAACTTCTGATAAGTTCAGGGTATTTGTTATATTCTCAGAACAAGGAGTATTTATACTTTTGTTGCATACGTGAATGAATGGCCACACAATCAGCAAATTACCTGACCACATATTTACTAGGTCTCTTATGGCCTACCAGCCTTGTGTTGGGCATTCTTGGAAATGCCAAAGGATCTAAGCCCACTCATGGACCCCATGGCTGACCAACCAGGAGAGGGGGTAATTATAATTAGAGGACTGGATGGGAAAAAAATCAGTGCTCTACTCAGATAAAGCCCTTTGTCACTTAGAGATGAAGGAAGAAAGAAAAGGTTATGGCCTTGATGCCAGTTAAGCAGAATTTTCGAGAATGGATAGAATTTAGGCATGAACTACCATGGCTTTTACCAGGAATTAGATGGCAAACTGGGAAGTAAAATGGGAAGAGAGAATAAAGTTCAGCATAATAGAGAGTTTGAGTAGTTTAAAGTGGCATGACTAGGTAACTGGGACAAGTGACCGTGAAAGGGAGTCAGGAGAGAAGGATGGAGCCAAGAGACCTGTTTTACTATAAAATCTATGTCTCTGGGGCATAAATTGAATTTGTCCAATTGGTGAGCTATTTCCTTCCCTTTTCCCCTTCTTCACTCCCTCTGTCCTTTCTTTCTTCTTCCCTTTCTTTTTTTAATCTTTACACTTACTAACATTTGGCCTTACAAACATGTAAGTTTGCCATTACCCCTCTGCATTTAAGTTTATGAACTGCCAAAGTGCAGAATACACTTTTTTTTCCTCAGCATATTTTGACTGATAGAACTGTGAGATGTTTAATGAGTATTCAGACAGCTCAGGAGATCTATGAATGATATCCAAAGTCTGAGGATTTATGTAGTCATCACAATATGGTTTATCTGTGAGATTACCTGATCAGAACGAGGATAGACTTGTCCTTTGAAGCTCAAAAGCAATTCTGGAATATTCTAGATAGCAGTTCTCAAAGATTATTCTAGAACAGGGGTTCAAATTTTCAGTGGGCAACTTTGAAGTATGAGTAGGTATCTAGGCCTTTATACTGAGATTGAATTTGTGTGTGGTGTATAGATCTGAAAATCAAAGAATTTCTTTTTTAAAGCTATCCAGGTGATATTAATTCAGAGCCAACAGTTACAGTGATTAACATTTATCCTGTTGACCCTCTGGCTCCTAGCTCCTGCCTAAATCTGCTATCAAAGGTTAGAAGATTGTCTTCGCACTGTTACTAAACATGATAAAATACCAACATTTCCTTGGCTTAAAATAAAATAGTTTCCAATGAGTGTTTTTCCATTTGGTAAAGTGGTAATTCAAGTTGCAACTCAATAAGCTATTTTCATTTGGAGTGAGGCAAAGTGTGGCACCCTGACATTTTTTATTTTTCACATATTGACCTTGTGCAAAAAGATCCTTTCCCTGCTCCGGTCCATAATTTCAGTTTACAATAAGGAGACTGAGGCACAAGGAAATTTAATCAGCTGCATGGGAGTCCCATGGCATTCTTCAGATTCTGAATTGCTGAGAATTTTGTGCACAATTATTTCTACTTCCGTGGTATATCTGGCAGGAAAGACCTTCATAAATGACCATTGTGTGTGCCTCCCACTCCCAGCAGTCTCTTATGGATCCTGCTTTTTCCATCTTTTGGGTGATATTTTGGAAGAGGGAGGATCTAATAACCTACCTTCATTCACTCAGCGCTGTGTACCAAACATGAGCCATGACAGAGATATTAATCATTAGCTGAGACTTCATCTGATCCTTGAGAAGAAAAATGTATGAACTTCAGAAACAGTATTAAAGAAGCTAGATGATGTAAATATTCAGCAATATTTAAAAATTGCAAGTTTAAAATTTGTAGATGGAGTAGTTCTGTTGTTAACATGTGATTGGATAAAGACATCTCTCTGGAATTCCTTCTGGTTATAAAAAGAGGCCATCTTAATTGGATTGTTTTTGTTTGTGGTTATAAACTATTCCAAACCTTCTGGTTTGAATTGCAGATTATGGATTATTTCATTTCAGTGCTTCACAAGCTTCAAATTGAATTTAAGAAAAAAGAGAGGGAGTAAAAGAGGAGCTGAAGTTTTATTTTAAGCTTTCATAGCATTTGACTAATGGTGATATTCAATTCTTTTGCTTCATCTGCCTTTGTTGGAAATGTGCATAGTGCATCCTAGATTTAGACATCATAACTGTATTGAGTGCATTTGATTTCCTAAAAATAGTGGCATGGCATTTTGATTGGCTGGCAATGAGGACGCTTCCTTTACAGTCCAATTTCCAGCTTCTTTTTCCAAACACTGTAGAGTATGGGTCACCTGCAGTTGAAGAGACAGAACTGGACAAAGCTCTGCTGATGAGCTGCTGAGGCCTTCACTTGAGTGTCTGGTGAAGTAATTAAAGCTCCAAGAGTAGCTTGGAGAATTACTAGGATACAGCATGTTGCAGTCGTTTGCTTAAGTGATTTCCATTTGGCTAACATTTGATGGGTGAGTCAGAGGCAATTTTTAAAGAGAAGGTAGTAGGGATATGGGTCTTGAGTAAATCTTATCCTGGAACAGAGGACCATGCAAGTGATGCCTTCCAAGAATGTAAGAATGTGAGCTCTCAGCCCCTCTTCCTATGGGTGGGACAGGGCCATGTTCTCGGATGGAACGAGTCACTTGTCTTTCGGGAAAGATTAGATGTTGACATACAATTCTGACATTGACATCCTTTCAAGACATCCTCTGAATCTAACCCTAGTTCTCTGGACAAAGCCTCTTGTTTAATTCAGAATTCTCAGAGCCAAAGATGATGTCATATAGTTTTAAAAGGCTCCAGTTCCTGGAGTACTACCAGGAAAAAAAGTCATCTTCCTTGAATTCAGTCCACCCTCAAGGTGTCCCGAGAAAGAGGCTGTTTCTCACAGCAACCCAGGCAGATGCTCCTTTGACTTCCTACTTCTTACACATTCTTAAGCCATGGAAGCAATGTCCTGCAAGAGTCCTGATTGATATTTCCAAGGCAGACTGTGAAAATATGAAGATCATTTCATTCCTGCAACTTCAAAGGGCACAAAATCAAGGCCCCAAGCCTGTGTCTTGAGTTAAAAGAGTTTTCCAGAGTTTGTTTGTTTGCTTGTTTTTTGCTCTAAATGACAGGATAGTTTCATCAAGTGAAATTGTGGAAGAGACAGATTCTGTCCTGGACCCACATTTTGGCCAGCATTGACATCATGAAGAGTTAGTTTTAGGCCACATTTACAACACCACCTTCGTCCTAAAGAGCAGTTTGGAAACCATGATATTCATAAGCAATAAAACTTTATGAGTGTAATTGGAGTAGAAGGATTTTCTCAGAGTTTCTTGGGTCTTTACTACACTGGGGAAGTAACTGCTGAGTGTCTTTAAAAGGAGATGAAATTTCACACACACTTAGATTGTTGTATTTTGCTTGGGTGTGGTCTGCTCAGTTTTTCATATTGTTTTATGACTACTTGTATGAGGCCATGTTTCCTGCTAAGTGATGAGACCTTGAAATCAATAGCATCTTTTTCTTTTCTTTTCCCTGCTTTGACCCTTCATCTTCCTCTGGTACCTCCTGCCTCTGTACCTGGCAGAGGAGACAGGCTGATGTCATGTGTCCCTATCACTTAAGAGGAGACCTTGAAGAAGATGATAGTAGAAGATAATCCAAGAGAAATAACTGCTTAAATGAAGTTGGCTATTTTCCTTAGTAAACAAAGAGTCAGAAATTCTTTATATCCCTAAAAGCCCTAAACTAATAATGAAGTCAGGTTGAAACATGAGCAGGACCAGAAGACCTGAGGTTGTTGTGGAAGAGGTTATTGAACTAACCCCACAGATGTCAGACTTTCGAGCTCAATAAGGAGTGAGCTAGGTAGCAAGAGGCAGACATTGCTTCTGCCCCAGATAGGGCTTTAATGCTAATACATACCTAGTGAGGACATCGGACAGTGGAATAAAAACCCTACAGAAGTGCATCATGGGCTGGAAGAGAGCATATCGCAGCAGAAAGCACATTTATACCAGTGTGAGCACGGTCCCCAGTAGCTGGGCTGGCACGAGTTCTCATGGCCTTTCCTCACTCCTTACCAGCCTCTGACCCCCCCCCAGGGGGTCTCTGTTTGGACAATTGGGAAGTTTAGACATTTCCTGCTTTAGAACTCATGTCAGTGTTTGAATTAAAAGCACATCTGGGCACACAAAATAGAGATGTGTACCTGGGAGAACTATGTACTTAAAAGCATTTAGCAGTTGGAAAGAGCACATTTTATGACTTTCCTGTGGAAAGAAAATATCTCAAAATGGACTGATTCATCCAGGCCAGCCAGTGGGAGCTCAGTAAACAGAAAGACCACTTCCTTGAAGGATCATCCCTGTCTTTGCTCCAGATGATCCCTCACTGATAAAAATTGTGTTTAAACACCAGAACCTACTTGCAGGGGGGTAGCACAGATCCCTGGCCAGCTGCACATGGCTTATTAAGGATGAGTGGTGCTTGATGCTGGCTTCCTGATGCCAGTTTCCATCCTACTATGAGGAAGGATTTTTCCCCTCATTTTGATACTTTATTATTTTTAAAGCTTTTTCATTTCTGTGATAAGCAAGTGTTGTAGAGGTCTTCTCTAGTCTAGATGATAGGTTGCGGAAGGGACCATGGTCTGTTTGCACATGTAAAACATCCCGATCACCAGTTGCCTCCTATTCATTACATTTCTCACAATCTGTATCCTTATGTTTATATAGTTGGTGATATGTTTAGGTTTGGTGGCTCTTACCAGAACAAAGCTAGCATGGGTGTTGGGTTAGCATAGCTGCAACTCAGCAACTCAACTGCTAACACAGTATATAACAAATAGAAGATATTCAGTGCATGTTTGGTCAATGTTAAGATATGTGGATGAAATGTCATGTAATTGGAACGTATCCATGACTCAGTGGTGCATATTATACAAAATTTCTGTTCTAAATAGAGATATAGTGGCCAGGATGGAAGGAACCATAGTCTTACTTAATTTTTTTTTTTTAAGATTTATTTGTTTGTGCATAAAGATTAGGATACAGGCCAGAGACTGAGGGGCGGCAGGAGGCTTCACCAGAAACAGAGTGGGGAGCAGAACAGGCAGATCAACGAAGTACAGTGCTGAGAGGAGCAGTGTGCGGGTCAGGAGAGGTCTGCTGCACCATGTGGTCACCTCCGGGGCAGACGGGAATCAAACTCATGCGGAAGTGGCTTTAACTTCTTAGTGCTGTGCTTTAACCCACTGCACCACCAGGGAGAGCCAGTCTTACTTAATATTTAAGAAATTAAAGTTTCACACTAGGCATCCCACCCACCCCTGTAGATTCTTGCTGGCCTTTTCGCTGTGCTATTTCCCCCAACTCGCAGGAGATCCAAAGCTCAAATTCTAGAACTTGTAGTGGATACTGCAATTTCTAAATATGTTCTCTGTGTTCCATGTCTTCATCTTCAAAGAACCATGGGTTCTGTGTTATCCCTCTGCTGCGTGAGTGGGTTATCAGGTTATTTTGATATGGGGTCTCCTTTGACTTATTAGGGAAAAGTCTACTCTTGGGACCCTAACACACGGGTATGATTCCTTGCATTGTCCCTCTGTTGATGTGCCCTCTTGAGCAAGTCAGGCAACCTCACAGATTCTTGCTTCCTCATCTATGAATGAGATTCCTATCATCTGCCTTAGACTGATAGGGGATTAAGTGGTATCATGGATGTTAAAACTGTAAAATTTGAAATACAGTGCACAGAGAGATAAAAAATAATGATGAATGATAGTTTCTTCTGAAGTAATTGCAGGGACATGATAGATTGTTTTCTGTGGTGCTCCCCAGGGCAAATCCCATCCTGAGTGAGAAGAATATGGAGGTGTGTTTCAAGGGGCCTCTAAGGGCTGTTGGAAATAGTAGAGACACTAGGGAGGGGATTTCATTTCTTCTTCCTTGATACACAGATCCCAAATAAATCAACCTGAAACCATGTTCCTTAAGAAGGTTGAAGGGAGATTGCAATTAAATATAATTACCAAAATATGTATTTTCAGTGTCTTGAAAGAGCTGGAAACTGTTTTTTATAATATAAAACAAAGCTACATATAAAGGAGATTTTATTTTCAGTTATACCTACTAGTTGATGTAAGATGTGTTCTAATGAGAACTATTGAAGCACATTGACTCCAAAAATGCTTTCTGGGAAAAATGAACAATGTAGAACTCACATTGTCTTGAGTTCCTACTTGAACCTTTTGAGAATGGTTTATGGAAATGAGGGGGTTCCTTCTATTTGAAATGGAAATGCTACCATAGTTTTAAACACTCTTTTCCTCCTTTGATCACAATTATGGAATCCTGGTTGCAAAGTGAGATGATTTTTCTCCCTCAGATTGCTGCCTTTAGCCCTTAAGTGAACTTTGCTGGCAGCTCAGTGGGTATTTTTCAAAAAAACCCTACTCTGATTGTATTAAATGCCACTGGCACCTTCAGCATTCCCTGCCCCCAGCACATTCCAGTAACAAAGTTTTCCTGTAACCCTGTATAGAATGTTCACAGGGATCTTAGAACTTGTGCTGTCTTCCCAGTTTCAAGGAAACACCAGACTTGTTAGGATGTAGTCAATGACGTGGTTTCCCAAGTTAATCATTTGCCAGATCATGCATCTGTTATTTTGTAGTATCCTAATTTATGTACAAAATAAAATTAAAGGAAAAAAAGTAAAACAAAGCCATAGTATGCCATACAGCTGTTTGTTTTTATTCACCCAACTCAATCATATACACAACTATATGTACAACATGTGAACTTTGAAATATGTTAGTTTTCATAGCATTTGATCAACAGTCCATTTTCCTGGCCTAAGTGAATAAAAGTAATGAGCTTGTGGCAGGCACACTTTCAGATTTTGGTTTTGTGTGATGGTTAGAGGAGTTGGCATAAATATAGGCTGAGAGGACTGTAAATTCCATAACCAACTTGCCTCTTTTAATGAGTGTGTAGCATAATTTGATTTAGTGTTAGAAGTAGGCAAAATATCACATAGCTCAAAAAATCAGATGATACACAAGTGTGTTTGGTAAAGAGTCTCTCTCTTTACCTAGGTCTCTGGTGAAACAAAACACTGAACATGAGCTCTCATTTTAATACCATCAGTTTCCCCATATACTCATTTGGACTTCTCTGTTTCTGGGTTTCCAGAACGGACTGTTCTCTCATGGCTGTTGCATATATATTAAAGTCTAGCACTGTGAGTCTCCTATGATGCAAGATTGAATTTCCCATTGCCATTTTTGCAGATTACAGCCCGCCGTCAATGGAAACATATTTATGATGAATTAGGCGGTAACCCTGGGAGTACCAGTGCTGCCACCTGCACCCGTCGACATTATGAAAGGTAAGACACCCCTTCTTGGAAGGTCCTATCTTCTTTCAAAGTGTGTTCACTGGGAGAAGCTTCGGGTCAAGGATAAGTGCCCCTCTGGCATTTTCCTTTGCATAACTTAGCCTTGTGGTTTTTAAGGAACATGACTTTCTTTGGTGACTGAGTCTAAAATTAGATGTTCTTCCAGTTTGGTTTTAGCCCATGACCACCTGCCCAACACGCCTTTTCCCTCCATGAGCATAAATTACCCAATCTGTTTCATTTACTATGAGAAGCTTCAGCTTTAGGGAATCACAGGTCTGCAATGTGACTGTAAAGTTGCCATGTAACTGTATTATCTTTGCAAAGTATGCATTTCTTTAATAAGAAAATTGGCCCCTGATAAGATCTGTTGTTTTTCCCATCTTGGTATTTTTCTTTTATGGCTATGTTTTTGACCCAATAAATCCTTGCCAAGTTCTGTGTGGTTCAGTTGTCTAACAATTTCATCTTTCTTCAGAAATTGGTAATAATGCGAACAAGAAGGATTGTCCAGGTTAGCTACTATGAAACTTGTATTTGCAGAAGGTTTTCCCCCTTTGCATTCAGATTAAGTTGCCCACACTATTGGCAAATTCATGCATTATTTTTGCTCTGGGATTCAAGCCTATACTTTAAGTTGTAGCAACTTCCTTATCACTGATATTTTTCCTTGATGAAGTGTTGACTGACTCTCCTTGGTTTTAAATTCAGAGCTTGTGAAAATGAAGCAAAAGGGTGTGTGGTGTGTGTGGATGTGTGTGTGTGTGTGTGTGTGTGTGTGTACAGTCATTGTGGGTGTAATGAAGTCAAAGCGTAGTCAGCTGAACAAACCAGCCGGTTAACTTATGAGCTTGAGAGGTAAAATACAGCAGCTGAATTTATTGCTTGTTCTTCACATAGTCAGTTACTGTTCCAACTTCAACCACATGCTTAATACTCACCTTGAAATCATACAGATGAGTTTTCAGATAATGACATCAACTCTGCATTGTATTTCTTTTGAGTTCAATTATACTTTTATCTGTATTGCACTTAAAGCAGAGACTCTTTTAGTACAGCCATTCAACAAAACTTAGAATGTTTTTGTAGGTATGAGCATAGTAAACTGAACTGGGTTTAGTACCTCATTAAAAATTCCCACAAAGTATTCCCAAATGATTGTCTTACTTGACTGTGTTGCAATTCAGAGGATTTATAAAAATTGGTAACAAGAGTTCAAATCATTACTCTTCATAATGTTTTCAATATAGTGTGAGAGATTTTAAAATGTGTTATTTTTCTCAGAATTTAATACAAAAATGCACACTCTCACTGCATGTAACAGGTACTCAGGCACATTGGTTTCTAGTACAGAGTAGCCATGGAACCTCAGGTTATGTTCTGGAAATAATATCTAAGGATGCCAGAGTCAACTTGTTTTTGATGTATAATCAAGGCTTTAATCACAGTATTTTCTTAAAAATACTGTCTCTGTGATCAAATCCCTTCTATTCTGATAGAATCTCCTTTACTCAGTCACCAAATGTCCCCCAAATGTAATCCATCAGACTTAAAGGACCAGATAGCAGTCATTTGAAATTTTTTAGTTTATGAAAAAATTGAGTGGATCTCAGTTACTCAGTAGCTCACCTAGTTAATGAATGAAAATTTAATCAAACACATTACAAATCATTGCATCATCAAAATAAATAGACCAAGTTTGGATTGAAAAAAGGATTAAGTATAATATGTATATTTTGTATACATATGTATATTTTGAATGTATGTATATTCAAATGTATGTATATTTTGAATTTATTCAAACAGTGGTCAGGGTAAAATAACCTCAGTCTTAAATGAAATGCCAATATATATTCTCCTGAAGATTGTGGACTTTGTTTCAAGATTTACCTCCTCCTGAATTGGCAAAATCCCAAAAACTACAATCAGTCAAATTGGAAATTTCTAGGAGAGTTGTCTCAAACTTTAGTAACTAAGAAATATAATTAAAGATTAAAAAAAAATATTTTCTACACATTCTGGGGAACAGACTAGGTATATGCAAAGATTGAGTATGTCCCACTGGATTAAAAATTTTCAAACTCTGTCATTTACTCTTTCAAATCTAGAAGTTGCTTGGGCAGTCAGCTCCCAGTAAGAAAAATAAAAACCACACTATGCATTCAACAAAGATAATGAAATATAGGAGATTGTTAAATAAGTGTTGGTATGAAACACTATTCACATGGAGGTAATAATCGAAGTTTCCCTAGGGTTGAAGGAATAGAGAGAAGGGTTGGCATAAAATTTTGGCTTCAAAGAGCCAGAGTTGAGATCCCTTCCAGGGAGAGGCACTCAACCAGCACAAACCTTCAGTACCTTGGAGGAGGAGCTTTGTGGAGCTCAGCTCAGACACAAAGGAGGCTGTGCTCTCTGGCTGGCATTAGACCTCAGAGAACTGTTGAAAGAAGCTGGGGCTACTTCTAGATGCAACTGCAGCTGCTTGGTTAGTGTTGATCTGGCATTGAAATGAGCAGCAGTAAAATGAAAATGAGGAGGTCCCTCCTTCCCTCTCACAGCCTGCTAGGGTGCCATGTACAGAGCCTCACTAGGAGGTTAACTTACAAAAGAGACCTGTAATGTGAAGAGTCCCAATCCCAGCATCAGTGGGCAGCTCACAGAGGTGCATTTGGAGTAGAGAGACAATTAATAGTTTATTGCCCAGTGGGATGCCTAAGATGGAAATCCCTGCCCACAGCCTGAAACCCACATGAGTGTGCAGGTGTTCCAAGGTCATTAGCCAGGTTCTCACTCTTCCTTGGCATGTCCTTACTCTTTCTGTATTTTTGTGATCAGGTCATCAATCATGCCAAAATGTGCAGATGATTTTTTTTAATCCGATGATTGGTAATTTTCTTTTTAAAGTAATATCACTTTCACTCCTTGGAACCAGTCACTGTAAGAGGAATCACCATTCTCCTCTGTGTAGTGGTGTGAGAAGAGACCAAGAGCTACAGCTCTAGACATCTTACTGCTTCTTGATGATTCTCCCAGAGAAGGAGAAAAACCAGAACGTTCCATACAATTGAAATATTTCTCCTCTGATCAGAAGTGGCTGAAACTCTTGGCTAAAACTGTGTTTAGTGATTATGGCAGATTTCATTCATTCTTGCTAGTTGCAATTTCTGCTGACATAATTCAGAGGTAACTAGTTTGATCAAGGACCACTGTGTTCATGAAAGTTTAAGTTGTTATGAAGAATTAGGATGTTATGGGCAAACCTCTAATCTGGACATATCCTTGGAAATTGTAAAAGTCTTCTAGAGCCCATTAAGGTGGCTGGGGTTCCTTCTCTGATGCCTGTTCATCTGGTCACTAATCCTTTTCACTCTAGTATAGAAACTTGGTTCTTTGCCCATTTCCCTCCTACCAACTTTGCTTCCCTAAAAGATGAAGAAGAAATAAATGATCTACTTTACATTATACACTGATTTATTTTTCATGCAGTGTGGTTCATGTTTCCAGTAAATGTTTTCATTTTCCAACAAGAAAAAAAGTAGCTGGGACCTTAGTAAATGTTACTTGTATATTAGTTGGGCACTTTTGGTTTATTAATGAGTGTAATAATGAAAGTGTGGGTTATGGAGAAGAATCAATGAGTGTTTTTATTTAAAGCATAGCAGAAATGGTACAATGCCTGTGAATGCATCATTGTCGCTGAAGGCCTGACTCGCCCAAACTTGCCTCTGATTGGTTTAAATCAAATAGGTCCAAGCACTTCATAAAAATGTCTTTGTCAGCCTGGTTCTACTTCTAAACCTATTCATCTCTGTCAGTGTTTAATATTAGTACCAGGCTCCTGGCCATAGTCCATTAGTACTGTACTTAATTGCTCATGTTACAGATGATCACCAATATAAAAAGCATTAATGTTTCCCCATCATGAGACTGTTGCCATGTAGATGTCTCAACCTCAACAAAGCTTGTGAAGTGTGGTTATTCTAGATGTGTCTGGCTCAGGATTTATAAAGTTACTGTAGATTAGAATGCCAAAATAAAATGTTCATCTCCTCATGGGCAAGAGCCTTCTAAATGAGACATTTTCTTTCTTGTCCAGCTCTATTTAAGGTGCCCTGATAAAAGGTGATAGAAGGTGCCTTTATCGGTAAAGAAACAGAAAGGAAAGTATCTCCTTCCATGGAATTTTCTTAGCGCGATTTTCTGGAATGGTAATTTACTACTTTAAAGGCTTTGTCTTTACATGCAGATTCTTTTTTTTTTTAATATTTTTTTTAAGTACATGCAGGAGGAAAAAATCTTTACACAGAATACCAGATTACTGGTTTTAATTTTCCAGAATAAATTAACTGGTCTGTTTCTGTGGAGCACATGAAGTTGTTATTAGGGATTTAAAAAGGAGCATTAAGGCAAAAATACTTTATGATGTGTTTTTGTTTTTTGTTTTTTTTGTTTTTTTTTTTTGAGAATTGAGAAAATCAAAATCATAAACAAATGTATTTGTTGTTGGGGAAATAAGCAATTACAGTTTATCTTCTTGTATACTTGAAGCCCAATTTCAAATTCTAACCTTTGCTCTTCCCATAGTCATTCCATGTGTTATGCCACACGGCTGAGGCGCCTTCTTTGCCACATTTTGGGGTGAGCTGTACCTAAGACAGATGCATTGGGCAGAATCCTAGTGACAGTCAGCTGGAGTTTTAGTCTTTTTTTTTTCCCCCTGCAGTGGAAGGCAGGGTGTGGGAGGTTCATGTTTTGAGTAAGATAAGTATGTGCTTTAAGGTAAATGCCAAAAATATATCAGGTTCTGAGGAATTCAGCTAATATTGTAGAAAAGTAGGAGAGTTATATTCATGCCCAGGACAAGATTGGGTATATTCTTCTCCTTTTGTTACCCTTAAAGTCAGTGCATAATTCAGAATGTCACAGGCAGGAGCTCAGCCTTGTAGAATTGAGAATTCCTAGTGATCTTCCAGATCATTGCTACTTAGATG